GGAGGGACGGAGGGACAGGTGAGCCAAGGTTCTTCCAGGTCTATCCCTCATTGTGGGGATGTTGAACATCCTTTTCATCCTCTAGTGATGACACCCATAGGGATGTCACCTGTAGAGATGTCGCTCATAGGGATGTCACCTATGGGGATGTCACCTGTAGGGCTGTCACTTGTGGAACTGTCACCCATAGGGTGTCACCTGTAGAGCTGTCACCTATGGAACTGTCACCCATAGGGTGTCACCTGTAGGATTGTCAGCCACAGGGATGTCACCTGTAGGATGTCACCTGTAAGATGTCACCTATGGGGGTGTCACTTGTGAACTGTCATCCACAGGGCATCACCTGTAGTGCTGTCACCTGTAGGAGTGTCACCTGTGGGGTTAGCACCTCTAGGAGTGTCACTTGCAGGGCTGTCACCCATAGAGATGTCACCTATGAGGCTGTCACTTGTGGAACTGTCACCCATAGGGTGTCACCTGTAGGACTGTCACCCATAGGGCTGTCACCTGTGGGGTTACACTCCTTTACGAGTGTCACCTGCGGAATGCCACCTGTGGGGTTAGCACCTCTAGGAGTGTCACTTGCAGGGCTGTCACCTGTAGGTGTGTCTCTGTAGGGCTGTCACCCATTGGCTGTCACCTGAAGGACTGTCACTTATGAGACTGTCACCCACAGGGCTGTCACCCTCAGCGTTGTCACCTGTAGGATGTCACCCATCCCCTTTCCCCATGACCAACCCACTGTGCTCAGACCTTGGCTCAGATATTCTGGAATTTGTCCCAGTGACACCCCCAAACCAGTGTCCTGCTCACTGGTTCCTTCTGAATCCCACTTATCAAATCCAGTTTAACTTTTTTTCCCACCCTATCTTTTAATACCTTACTAATTTTAACCATGTTGACAACTGGGTTTTGTCTGCTTGAGGTTTTTTTTTAATTGTCTGGGTTCCTTATTTCTAATTTCCATTCCTCTTTGTGACAGGCAGAGGGGACAGTCTGAGCTATTCATACTTCCAGAAAGAAGTGCAGTGTGGTATTTGTGGAAATCTATTTCTAGTGAAAAAACCTCACAGGCAAAAATGCTTCTGTGAGATCATCAGTAATGATAAAACAGAAGTAAATTTAAAAATAGGCTCTTGTGAGGACTTTGTGCTGGCTGAGCCTTTTAATAACACTTCTTACAATAATTTCAACAATTGTAAGTGAATTGTAAACTGAAAACTATGAAGTTCTTTCAGCTTGACTGGAAGAAGACCTAAAATGGATCTCTGCAATCCAACACCTACAGAACTTTATCCTGATGTGTTGTTCCAGTCAGAGTTTACCTCATGGAATATCCAGCCCAGTCCTGTTGAATCCCTTCAAAACTCTTTAACTGCTTCTCCCATTTCCCCTTCCTTCCCCCAGCCCCAGAATTCCCACAGCACTGCAAAACATCTCTCAAACAGAATCACTGACAGATTCCCTGGAAAATGTTGTGTCATTCTCTTTTCAACCAATTCTGCTGACAGCTCATAAACTATGGATGCTCCTCCTCTTTTCTTGGGTGCAAAGCACAGTGAATTTTTCCCAAACTCACCCCAATTTTTGGGACAGGTTCCTGTGCTTCCTCAGCCTGAGTCTGTTGCCTTTCCCTGCTCTGCTGTGAGATCTGGGCTCCCCAAAATGCTGCAGAGAGCCCCAGCTGTGCCCTGCACCTCATTTCATTCCTTTCCAAGCTGGAAACCCCAGGAGTGTGGGATTTCAGAGCTGTGCCCTTCACTGGGTTTCATTTCCCTGCCCCTGAGCCCCACCTGTGACCATTTGCATCTATGTAAATCCCATTTGCTCATGCAAACAACCCAGAATTTTGCAATTTCACGTTGCACACAGGACTTCTCTCATCAGCGGTTCCCGTTCTGACTCAAAAGGATCCCTGTGAGGAAACCTGGGAGCTCTGGGATCACCCTTTGATGGGTGCTTTGCTAAATAAAGGGAAAAGTGAGGATGGAGCCTTCAGACAGAGCCAAAGCTTTGCCTTAATCCTTCCCCCTTTACCTGACCCCAAAACCACGTGGGGATCTTACCTGACAGCAAGAGCAAGGTGAGGTTCAGGAGCTTCTCCATGGGGCTGAGCAGAGGAGGAGCAGGAGAGGAGCAGGAGAGGAGCAGGAGAGGAGCAGGAGAGGAGCTGGAGAGGAGCTGGAGAGGAGCGAGCTGGCTCAGCCCAGGGCCAGCTCCTCTCCCCCTGCTCGCTGTGACGGAAGGAAGGAGCACAGGAACTTGGCATCCTCTTCATCCTGCACATTGAGCAATGCTCCAGGAACAGGCATTGCCCTCGTGGGCTGAAAATTCAGGCATCAGCACTGGGAGGGAGCAGCACGTGGCGGGCTGGGGCCACAGGCTGGGTGTCTGCTCCCACCAGAGCAGGATTTCATGGAATTATGGAATGGTTTGGGTTGGAAGGACCTTAAAACTCATCCAGCTCCATCCCAGCCATGGCAGGGACACCTTCCACCATCCCAGGCTGCTCCAAGCCCCATCCAACCTGGCCTTGGGCACTTCCAGGGATCCATGGGCAGCCACAGCTTCTCTGGGCACCCTGTGCCAGGGCCTGCCCACCCTCACAGGGAAAAATTCCTTCCCAAAATCCCTGTGGAGGTGGGAATCCATCCCCTCATCCTGGCACTCCAAGCACAGTGGGGATAAAAATCATAAATTATAAATAAATTATTTACAGGAGCTGTGCATGGGAGGGGGGAATTTCTGGAAAGATGAAAGGGAGGCTCTCCTGGTAGCTCTGGCAGCATTCTGAGGGTAAAAAGGACAAGGACATCATCCCCTGGGTTTGCAGCAGAAATAAGAACCTGTGGGAGCATCCTTGTGTGAAATCCAAGCGCACACAGCAGGGCAGGGCCACAGCAGAAGCTGTGGGTGCTTTAAACAAGCCCAGCACCCACCTTGCTCTGTACCTGGCACAAAGGGCACAGGATCTGTGCTGGGGTTCTGAGCCAGCCAATGCCACAGGGCTGGGGGGGCTCAGGAATGCAGCCAAGGACCCCCCAGAATATCAGCAGACTGATGGGGGTGGGCTGCTGGATTTTAATTTTTGAGGTGATTTATTTCCATGGAAGTACAAACAGACCCTGGCTCTGAAATGGGTGTGGTGCAAAACCTGCAGGCCTGGCCATTCCTAAATGTGCCTTTCCTTGAGTTAGTGGTCAAGAAAATGCTCCCTCACAGTGACCAGAAATTCTCTGTCAGGTGGCTGATTGCAGCTTTTGTTCCTTCTCATCCCAGTGAGCACAAACCTGGATTCTCCTCAAGAATCTTCCCAAAAAATGCCTCTCTTCCACTCCACTGTTTTTTGTTATTACTCTTCCACAGCTTGACCCATGAAGAGCAAATTGTTGGGGGAATGTTGGGCTTGAACAAACCATTTCCAGAACCATTTTCTGTCAGGTCAACTCTGAAAAATCTCAAAAAATTTCCATCAGCCTCCCTGGTGCAGCCCTGGCAAAAGGAGCCTGTTGGATGTGAATGAGGGCTGGGTCAGGCCCCTTTGGTCTGTCACCTCCAGCAGGGCTTGGGCAGGGAAATCAGGAGCCAGAGCTCCTGGAGAAATGGAACTGAGCCCCAAAAACTCATTTCATGTTGCTGCCCACATGACTGTTAAACGAAATGTGTCATTTGGAGCATTTCCAGCAGAGACAGGGAAGTGCAGGAGCTGGTTCTGCTTTTTCTTGGAATCCAGCACTCACATCCCCAGCCCATTCCATGGAAATGAACCCAGCCACAGCGAGGTTTGATCCCTGCAGCGCTGGAATGAGTTTGCTTGGCCACAGGAGCTGAATTCTTGGGATTGGGGCAGGATTTGGGGTGGATATCCCACCCAGCCATGTCCACACTGCTCCTCTGCACACCTGCCTCTCCAAGGTTCTGCACTTTAATGGGATTGGAAAAGCAGACGTACAAGAGATCCTGGGAATGCCTCCACAGCTCTGCCTGCCACAAGAGTGCCAAAACCTCTGCTTTCTAAAACAAGAGGGAGGGCTGAAAATGCTCAGCAAACACCACACACAGCAGCAAAACTCAGCTTGTCCATCCACACACCGCCTATCCTCGCTCCCACTGTGTATTCCAGTTCCTTCCTCCCATTCCTGGCTCGTTTGGGGTTCTGTGCTTCATTCCTTGCTGGTCCTTGGGGCCTGGTTGAAGGCAATGATGGCATATTCCACGTGCTGGGGGTTCCTGGGAGCCTGGCTCGGTTCCACATTGCAGTAAAGAGGATCCTCAGGGCTGGAGGGGGATTGCACATCCAGGTTGATGTATGCTGGCCCTTTGCTGCCATCCTGAGAACTCTCCCTCCTCCCAGAGCTGCCAGGCTGGGAAAAGAAAGGGAAAACACTTGTTAGCATGAGTCAGTGCCAGGGCACAGCTGCTGCCAGGAGAAGGAGATTTTCCCACAAGGAAAGGGAGAAGCTGTGTCAAATTTTACCTCTGATTTTCCTTCCCAAGGAAAGGCGAAGCTGTCTCAAATTTTACCTCTGATTTTCCTTCCCAAGGAAAGGAGAAGCTGTGTCCAATTTTACCTCTGGTTTTCCTTCCCAAGGAAAGGAGAAGCTGTGCCCAGTTTTACCTCTGGTCATGACAGAGGTAGAGGAACAGGGAACTCTTTTCTTCCCCACCTCTCCTGGATACAGGTGGAGCCTCATGCTCTGACCCTGCTTGCTACTCCTTGAGTCTCTTCTCAAGGGTTACCAGAATTTGCTCCATTGGGTTTGCTCCTGCTGGAGTTTCCTTGCATTAATTACCCCCCCTTTCTCTCCAGCTATGAATATTCCTCTCTCTGCTGCCATTAAATACCATTTCCCTCCTGTTTTAACCAAACTGAGCTCCAAGCTCCTCACCAGGTGGGTCTGACAGCTCCTCCCAGATTGCTGCTCAGGGGTCTGGCACCCTGTGGGAAATGTTTCATTTTCCTTACCTGTGCTGTGCCCTCTGCTCGGTCACTGGTGTCCTCTGCTTCTCTGTTACCTTTAAAATGAGGCAAAATCAGAGGGTTTAGATGAGGAGAAATCCATGAAAAGCTCTGCCTGAGGAGGTTTGGGACGGCCCATGATGGGATGTGCCTCTGCCCTGGGGTTGGGGAACACTTTTTGCTCTCTTTACTGCTCCTCTAAGGTGTTTGCACCTCTGGAGGAACCTGGGTTTGATTTATTCACAGGGGAGGCAGGGACGAGCCTGCCTTGAGACCTCCAACCTGACTGTTGAAGATTGCAATGCAAGATGTTTTCAATTGCCATCTGTAAAACAGATTGCCTTGGTCAAGTGGGCAGTTTGCCTTATCTCTCTCTGAGTGACCACAATCACTCCTCTCTTGGGACAGGACATCTGCTGATAACAGCCATTGAATGTCCCTGCATGACTGATAAGAACTACAGCATCCCATGGGGAGATGCTCCGCCCAGGGGGAGGAGCCAAGCATTCCTACCCGGATATAATCTGGAGATTTCAAGCATTCCTACTGGGATATAATCTGGAGATTTCAAGCATTCCTACCTGGATATAATCTGGAGATTTTGGAACACCAGCACGGCTTCTCCACTGGATTCCCCAGAGGAACAGCAGCTGCCTCTTCTTCCCCTGGATCTTCAGAGCAATACTACACCCTTTTCTCCAGGATCCCTGCTCCAGCAGAACCAGCCCTGACACTGCAGGAGGGCTGAGCCACAATTCCAATGGCACTGCTGCCAACACCCTGACCCACAGGGTGTCAGGCTGGGTTCTGACTCTGTCAGTGTTGTTCTAGTGTACTGCATTGCTCATTTTATCCTTTTATTTCCTTCCCTATTAAAGAACTGTTATTTCCTGCTCCCATACTTTTGCCTGAGAGCCCCTTAATTTAAAATTTACAGCAATTCAGAGGGGTGGGGAGGATTCACATTCTCCATTTCAGGGGAGGCTCCTGCCTTTCCTTAGCAGACTCCTGGCTTTCCAAAGCAAGGCACTGACCTTCCCAGGGCTCTGAGCTCACCTGGGACAGCCCCAGCCCCACGTACCTGTTCTCAGGAGCAGCCTGTAGTGCCTGACAGCCAGGGCTGTGCAGCTCAGCAGGGCCAGGAGCAGCAGGATGAGCAGCACCACGGACAGGATGAGGAAGGTGTTCTCACTGCAGGTGGAGGAGAGGAAGGCAGTTACCAGGGTGGGATGGTTTAACAGCCCATCACCAAACAGGGGCCAAAAGAGGGACAGGGACAGGTTTTATGTGCTCAGTTGGAAGGAGGGTCTGGTTCTCCTGCAGATCCTGCAGGGTCCTCCCTCTATGAGCCTGGGCAAGTCCCTGCTGATTCAGAAGGGGAAGGAGACACTGGGGACCTTTCCTGGTTCCTGATTCTTGATTTTTCTACTTGGCTGTATCTTCTGAGCTTTTCCTAAACCATTCTCCAGGCTTTAGAAACAAAGCTCAGAGTTCAGAGCTCCGAGCACAATTCCAGGCTCTCTGGAGCAGGGATGGTTCTGCTCTTAGGTGCTGCTGTGGCAGTGATGACAGCAGATGTACAAAGGGAGAAAAATCCATTACGTTTAACTGGTAAATGGAATAAGAGCAGCCAAGGACTGTCTCATTGTTAAATATTCAGATAGGAGGGAATAAAGTTGAGGCTGAGGGGCAGAATCTGGGGGTTATGTTCATGTGAAGTGCAGAGCTGAAGGAGAAGAGAAGGAGAAGGAGAAGGACCTGCAGAAGGCTCTATCATGATTTTACCAATCTGCCTCTTTGGATTTAGGGTTAGGGCAGGAACTGGAGGAGGAGAGGCCACCTTTGGTGAGGATCCTGTCATATCCAATTCCCCTATAGGCAGGAGGCAGAGTGCCCAGGGCCTGCCTGCCACAAGTGTATAACACGAGTAAACTGTGAGTGCTCAGGCCTGAGATTCATTTAGGCCTTACCTGTCACCCAGAGTTTCTTGACTTTGGTTTTCAGAGTATGAACCACGTCCTTGACGCAGCGCTGCAATCACAGACACGAGGAGAGGAATGGTCACTGTGGGGCTGCTCTGCATTCAGCAGTGAAACACCACAGTTGTCACTATTTGGTTCAGCAGCAAGGGCCAGACAGGCTCAGGCACGTCCTGTCCGGCCATATTGGTAAAAATACCAATACTCACCCTTGGAAACGTTGAGTGTGATCTCCTCCATGCGGAGCAGCCCGGAGCCGTCCAGCAGCGCACACCAGTACACGCCTGAGTCCTGCACCTGCAGCTGCTCCATGGTGACGGTCACAATGCCCTGCTGGGTGTCATCCTGGATCCTGACACGCTCCTGAGCCGTGCTGTTTGCTGCTGGGGACTCTGATGTGGTGGTGACCAGCACTTTGCACGTTTTCCCCTCTTCCCTTTTGCACCAGGCTTTGCTGACAGTGCTGTAGTCGGCGATCTTGTAGTGACACTTGACAGTGATGTTGGCTGACTTCTCAGCTGTGAGCTTCTGGGTCCCTGCAAAACAGCCAGGATGTTTGCTGAGACCCCAAAGTGGGGTCCGAGAGTGGGGCACCCCCTCTCCAGCACTGCAATACCTCTGAGTCCCTGCAAAACAGAGAACATGGCAAGTACTCATGGGGACACAGAGAACATGGCAGGTACTCATGGGGACACAGAGAACATGGCAGGTACTCATGGGGACACAGAGAACATGGCAAGTACTCATGGGGACACAGAGAACATGGCAGGTACTCACTCTTGGACACACAAAACATGGCAGATACCCACAGAGACACAGAGAACATGGCAGGTACTCATAGAGAACATGGCAGGTACTCACTCTTGAACACAGAGAGCTTGACCTCCATTTTCCTGGTGTGCCCAGAGTCCAGTGCACACCAGTACACACCAGAGTCCTGGATCTGCAGGTTCTTCATGGTGACAATGAGAGCCATTTGAGCATTATACTGCACTGATACTCTGTCCTGCAGGGATTTCATTTCACTCTGTGCTGGAGATGTTCGTCCCATCCTAGGGGGTGTGCATTTGGGCCCAGCTTGGCACCAGGCATTACTCCACACTGGGCACTGCACTGTCAGGGTGTCCAGCTCCCACTGGAGCAGCTCTGTGAAACACCAAAAGTGGCACTGCCCAGTCAGTACAGGGCACAGGGGCACCAGGGACAGACCATGCCCTGGGGCAACTCCCTCAGGGCAGGGGGAGTGGGAGCCAGCAGGACCAGGCAGGGCTGTGGGGCTCCTTCTCTCCCTGTGTGGGAGGGAAAGCAGGGAGCAAGGCTGGGGGCACCAGGGGAAGCTGCTCAGCCGTGGGGGAGAGGGGGGGTAGAGCGGGGGAAGGAGTGATGTGGCTTCCTGACAAGGTTTGGCTTTGGGTGGGGTACAGGTACTCACCCCTGAAAACAATCAGCGAGATCATCCTTAGCCATGGATAGCTGTAGCTGTAGGGAGCAGCACAGAAATATGTGCCTGAGTCCTCTGCCTTGAGGCCACTCATGGTGACAGAAACAATCCTATTAGCTTCGTTATCCTTTATTTCAATTCTCCCATCCTGGGATTGTCTGGTGTCTCTATATGAGTACACACGCAGGACTTCGTGACATCTTTCATTTCCCTGGAGGAGGCACCAGTATTTTTCCTGCTGGCCAGTAGTCCATGCTGCATAAGGACACTGGATGAACAGAGTGTTCCCTTCCCGTCGTCTGTAGGCTTCTGGGGCTTGGCCTTGGACACCTGGAAGGATCAGAAGTGGTGAGGGAGAGGGGAGCTGACCACAGAACCACAGAATTACAGCACGACAGAATCACAGAATCAACAAGGCTGGAGAAGACCTTTGAGATCACCAAGCCCAACCCATGTCCTCACGCCACCCTGTCACCCAGCCCATGGCACTCAGTGCCACATCCCGTCTGTTGTTGAACACCTGCAGGGGTGGTGACTCCCCCAGCTCCCTGGGCAGCCCTTTCCCTTCCCCATCACCCTTTCTGTGAAGGTGCAGAGACGCCCACAAACCCTCAGAGCCTGGTGCTGGTGCTGCAGGAGCTCCCAGGGCAGCAGGAAGGAGGTGGGGACGGTTCTCCCTGTCCCCCGAGCCCTTCTCCTACCTGGGAAGCAGAGTGGCAGCAGGAACAGAGCTCTCAGCTCCATGGCCAGGGAAGGGGCATCACTGGGGGCTGCCCAGCCTGTGCCGTGCCAGCCTGGGTGCCCCTGGCCTCTCCTGCCTGGCAGTGACACAGCCGGGGGGGAAGTGCTGAGTTCTCGCTCTTGCCTCAAGCGGAAACACCTCCTCATGTTTTGTCACAAAATTAATATGACAGCAATCTCGGGGTGCTTTTGGGGAAGTGGCTGTGCCCAGCACGCAGCCTCTCCTGGTGCCAGGGGCTGCTGCTGCTCTCGCCTGGCTGGTGGCATTGGTTTTGTCACCCTCCTGTCCCCCCAGCCTGTGGTGACGTCGGCACACCTGGCTCCTCTTCCTCCCTGGCTGGTGGGAGGGAAATGTTCCAGGGTTTGAAATTTGAAATTCCAAATGTGGAGTTTGAATTCACATGAATTTCCTGCTGATTCTGCACCCAGGTGTTTTGCAGGGCTAACAGGGCGAATGGGGAATGGCTTCTTTCCCTCCTTTCCCCCAGCCTCTCTGAGGAACTCTGCAAACCCACACAAAGCTGCTGTGCAGTGCTCCAGGTAAGTGCTGGTGCTGCTGTGTGTGCATCCCACAACCACAGCCCCCTCTGGAGCAGCTCTGGGGGGCTCCCCCATGATCTCCCACAGCTGGTTCTGTCCCAGACAGCTGCTTGGGGAAGCAGGAGCAGTGTCAGGGCTGATCTGCCTCGAGGCCACGCTTCCCTGGATGTAGACGCACTGGGGGGTGGGATGGTGGGGATGGATGGAGATGAAAGATCTCTGAAGCCAGGGCTTGGAATTTGGGGTTTATTGCAAAGGGCCTGGGTGCAGGGCCCTGCTGGGAGCTGCCAGCCACAGCTGGAGAAGGCCCCAAAGAGGAAGAGAGAGAAGGCAAGAGCATGGTAAAGAGAGAATGGGAGAGTAAAAGAGAGGATCAGAGGGCAAGGTTCCTGTTACAATACAATAAATCTTCTTCTGGGCTTGGAACTTGGGGTTTATTGCAAAGGGCCAAGTGCAGGGCCCTGCTGGGAGCTGCCAAACACAGCTGGAGCAGAACTGAGAGAAGAGAAGGGGGACAGAGGATGAGAAAGAGAAAGAGGATGAGAGGCTAAGAGAGTAAGAGGGTAAGAGAGCGAGGTTCCCGTTACAATACAATAAATCTTCTTCTGTGCTGAATATTCTGATTCTCACTAACCAATCTAGTCCAAGATACAAATCCTATAGCATTTACATACAGCCTATAAGAATCATTACATTACCACACTGTGTTACATTTTAAACCCTAAAAACTCCTCTTTGGGCCCCTTCTGCCAAGCTGTAGGGTCTGCTCTGACCCTTGGGCCTGTCTGCAAGCAGAGGGTGTTGTTCCATCCAAAGGGGATCACCTTCAGTGACCACACCACTGTTTTCCTGTTGTTCAGTAATTAAGGGATCTCAAAACTTGCTTTCATTTCCATCTCATCGTTTCTATATTCTCAAAATCTTTTGCCAGACAATCATCTTTATAAGGCTTTCCTGTTCCATCTTCCCCAGCACCTGCCCTTTCTCTCTCTGGGTGCTGAAAGGAGAAGCTCTGTGCTTTTCCCTGCTCCCAGACACCCTGTGCTTCCACACTGGGAATTGTGTCCCTCACCAGCAGGGCTTGGCTGAGCCTTTCTGCCTCTCCTTCACCTCCCTGTGTCCTTCCCTGCCCTTGAAGGAGGAGCAGGAGCTGCTGTGCCAGCACGGCGTCCCCTGGGCCGGTACCTGCCCCGCTCCAGCAGAGCAGCACACTCAGCCTCCACTGACACCCCAGCTGCAAAGAATTTCCAATTATATGAATAAGCAGCTTATTAACAATACATTCTGGCTAATCATTTTGTGCTAGATATCTCTGCATTGTCTTGTCCCCAAATCCCTCTCTCATCAGGCACTTGATGCTCGGTAACGAGAAGGGGGAACACGCTCGGGCTCTGCTGAACAAATCCCAGGAGGCTGCAATTAGTTCACTTCCTGCAACTGGTTGCCTCCAAACTGAGCCAAGAGTTGCTCCTCAGCCCTTCCCACGGTGTTTGCTGCATCCATGGGAGGTCCTGCCCCAGGGGAGAGGCTCTGTGGGGCAGGACAGGCCATGAGGAGATGCCCATCCAGGGCCTGGCATCTTGGAGCAGCAGGAATGTGATGAAGTTGGGCCTTTTGCTGCATGTCTGGCAGAGGATCAATGTGATTTTAATGACAGAATCACAGGGGAGAAGATGAATGTTGTCTCAGGAGGTCACTCCAGCCAGCCCAGTGACACAGCAGGATCAGGCCCGTCCATGGCATTTCTAAAGATCTCTTTAAGCAGCTGAGGCTGCAGCATTTTCCTGTTCCAGTGAGGCACCAGTGCCATCTGAACACTCCTCCCAGCTCTGCCTCTCCCTGGCTTTGGTGCCTTGTTCCACTTCAATGCTGTTATACCCACTGTGACCTCAGAGATCAGATCAGATCATTCCCATTCCCATTCTCCCCTCAGTCCTTCCACTCCAGACTGACTCCAGACAGTTGCATCCCAAATATTTTGATTTTCCCTCCTCAGCTGTGTTCCTGACAACTCAGATAATTTCTCCCCCTTTCTCTGAACTCTGTTATCAATCCACCTCTTCCCTGTCTTGTATTCCCCGAAGTTCTTTTGGAGCTTAAGGATGGAGCCATCCCCTCTCTGCTGCCTTCCAGCAAACCCTGGAGCTGCAGCTGATCGCAGCTGATTCACTCTGGTTGTGTCACACCCACAGAAGCGTGTCTGGGTTAGACTTTGCTGAAAATATCGGGGATTTGGGGTTTTTT